GTTCCGGGCCCCTCTCCGGCTGCGCTCCCGCCCCGCTCCCGCCCCGCTCCGGCCGCGGGACTCGCGTTCGCGGCGCCCTCTGGCGTCGGCGCGGGGCAGGAGCGCGGCCGGGCCCCGCAGCGGCAGCCGGGCCGTGCTGAGGGACGCGCCGGGCCCTCACCGCCCCTCACCGCCCCTCAACCCCCCTCTCACCGGCCCTCACCGCCGGCCGGGCCGCGGGGATGCCCCCACGGACGGGCATGGCTGAGGATCAAACCTGGCCACGTTACTTTTCACGTTAGGACCGGGCCACCCTTATAGTTCTCCGCTGAAACTGCTTTTGCGAAATGGCAGAGGCGCTACTAGACTATCTGCTCGGGGAGATCTACGGAAGACTTGGCACAAAGAAAATACACATATGCAAATACACCAGTGAGTGGAAGAAACAAAATCAGATACTAATACTTCCTGTCCCAGTGTATATTCCATTCATCCACAGGATGTTTTCCTAGGAAGAAAGTCGACCCTTGCTCTCTCTACTTCTTCCTGTCTCCCCAAATGATCAGTATTACAAAACAGGGAATCGTGCTTCATCTGAATCGTCTCCCACTTTACTCCCTCAGTACAGTCTGCTTTTATTTTAAAGAGAAAAAAATAGCAATAAATTGCACTAACATTTCCTTGGGAAACCATGCTTTATTCTTTTTAATAGTTACTATTTAAAATGTGGTCTTTTTTTTCTGTTAAGCACTGACTGACATTACTGCATACATTTCTAAACTCTGAATAAACACTACTGAACCTATCCATTCACCTGACTCCCATCCTGATCCTATTTCTGCTATCAGAAAACTCTCCAGTGAGCCATGAGGACCAAGGTCCATGCCTCCAGAAAACACTTAGACATGAAGTCACACAAACTCAAATCCCTCAACAGGAAAAACATATTCCTTCACTTGCTTCCCAACAGAGAGGAAATACAAGATACATTTGACTCAGATGCTGACCTTTGGCAGGGGCCACCATTACATATTCAAGAAAAATTATAGTAATATTGGGCAATTATAAGAAACAGCAACCTATAACAACAACTTCTGGCAACATAAAATCTTGAACCTTCAGAAGCAAGAAGTTTCCAGTGGACTATTGTTTCTACAAGCCCCAACAGACCAACCCCTCACAAAGTTCTCCAAGCATTTCCACACTTTGTGGTTTTCCCATCATCCTGTGGCAGCAAGTTTCATGAGGTCTCCTTTTTTTCTTTTTTTTTAGCTTACTGCCTGATAGGCAAAAAAAAGAAAAAAAAAAAAGAAAAAAAAAACAAACAAAACAAAAAAAAACCCTCCTCATATAATGATAAACACTGAGTAACTGTTCTATTTCACCTAGACACTCAAAACAGTCTGACTATCCACCACAACAATTTACTCATAAACCAGCTGTTTTCCAGAAGGAAAACAGTGTCTTCCCTCTATTTAGTGCCTCCCCACATCTAAGTCTTTCCATGTCTCTACTGGTGTGGTTGCCTGCTATTTGCCTTTTCCAATTCAACTGTTATCTTTCTTAAGTTACACACTGATATAGCAGTATTTTCCATTTTGTTCTTTGTAGACTTCATGATGAGGATTCTCATGGAGAGAGAATGCTGGCTGCAGCAAACCATCAGGTCCTTATTTTGGTGGCAACACTGGCTGAAAGTCCAGCAATGTATTTGATAGAGCTCGCATTGTTTCCCACTCTCCAGCATTCTTTCGCATCTATTGGCACAGCCATTCAAACATTTCATCAGTCACTGTTTCCACTATGAAGCCTTTACGTGATTCCCAGCTATTCATTTTAGGGAGCAAAATCTGCATTAGCAGAAATGTTATTACTTGACTATTTTCTGTTTTCCCTGATCAGAAAACACTGTGTGTCTGTAAGATTCCACCAGCAGCCTTCTTCACTCTGGAGCCTAGCCACTCATTCTTATTTTTCCTTCTGTCTTTTAACAAACACATAGTCTGGGAGAAGTGGTCTGTAAGACTTCTTGGTGAAGACTCTTGTTAACAGCATTTTGAAAAGCCAAGTATGTTGTATTAACCAGCATTTTCACTGTCTCCTTCAAAGAAATTTCTAATAAATTTGTGAGGCATTGCTTCCCCTTGTAAAATGGAAATAAACTACTTCATCTCTTCTTTATTGTATCATTCATTCCTATTTACCCACTAATATATTCTTTGCTAGAATTTCTGCCAAAGAATTTCCTTTTTCTTCAAGAACTTCTTAAATAATTAATGTCATATGTGCCAAATTTCATTCCCCTCCAGTTAGTAACTCAGCAACGTCTTACTTATGTTAGTTTAAAGTCTTGACTGAATACCATATGGTCACAATATTTGTAATTTCTCTTATTAATGTCTTTTACTGAAGCTGTGGTCCACCAGTAAAGCAAATCCAGCACTAGGAATACTAGCAAGAGACCAAAAACTTAACAGCCATATGAATGCCGGTCCAAAATTGTGTTCACACAATTTTGTCTGGTTGGCTTTGAACTGGCAGTCTCCATGTCTCATATGACATATCATTTATCTTTTATTGTACTGCATAGAATCAACATAAAGCTACACATGCTTACTAAATGAACAGAAATGCATTCACCTCCCCACATTTGAACCAGATGAAACTTCTACTGACGGATGATCTGCTAGTGTGCATTGATGATGATAGAACATCAGCCTGACACTTCATTTGGAGGTTAATTTCCTTACAAGATACACTTAAAAACTCAAACCTCCACTTTACATGGGTTCAAAAAGTGATTACGTCAATTCATGGGAGGACAAATGAACGTTCACCAGGACTCACTGCAGATCACTGGAATCTGCTACCACACAGCATTCAGGTGTCTCAGCAGGCCAGCCCCAGTTTATTATTCTAAAAGCATGTGCTAATGTTCACAGCTGGATTCAGACACTAAGCAAGAGAGACAATTTGATCGACTACCACTAATCTGATGTGTTCTTTAAGTTTTACTTGTCCCAAAAAAAAATTTTTACTCCAACAGAATGTTCCAGTTTCACTGCTCCAAAACTTATTTGTATCTCATCTTCCAGTTATATGTCACTGTCCTCCACATCAGAATACGTAACAATTTCCTGTAAACATCAGACCATGTTCTGTGTTACCTTAGGGATCTCTCCATGAAGCAAGCTTAGTGGAAAAAAACAGATCCAAGAGACTAAAGGTGAGTATAAGGAGTTAATTTGCAAAGGCCAGGACAAGAAAGGAAGTGAGTAGAAGACAGTGCTAGAAAGCCCCTGCCTTCTAGTCCTCCATGCCTTGGAAAGCTATCAGAACAAACAGTTATGAGATCAAATTCTTCTGGATACTTAATTTTTTTTTTTTATTTTTAATCTACACACAGAATTAAGAAAATGTCCTCATGAATATGGATAAGCAAAACACCTGAAAGTGGGATCAAAGACTGCGAGGTTATTGATTAGTAATGTACTATCTCCAGGTTTTGATTTTTGTTATCTCAGTTTGGGATGGGATTTTTTTTGTTGTTGTGTTGGGTTTTTTTTTTTAAGAAATCTGTAGTACATCAAATTTGTCTTTGAAAACCTTTTGTCCTCTTCTCTTTACACAGAAAATGCTACGCCACAATAGAATTCCAAGTAGTCATGCCTGCTGAATATACACGCAGTCATACGGCTGCTGGAATGAACTGCACTTACCAGAATAGAACACATACTTGGAAAGTGCTAGAAGTGCCTCTCTGTATAATACCAAAAAGATTAGAAATCCAGACCTAAGGCTGTCCTGAGTCACTGTAGTGCTGTCCCTGCATTAACAGTGTAGTAGGGAAAAATATCATGTGCCATACACACACACACACACACACATATTACATATGCATGCATCTCAAAAGACTCCATTCCAACATGGTAAGAAAAGGCAAAAGGGCTTTACACTGTTTCATCTATATTTCCTAGAATTTCAGGTATCTCAAATATGATTATGAAAATATTTTTAGTGTAGTATATTACACTTTTTTGCTGTTCCTTGGCACAGTGATAATTTGCCAAGTTGCCAAAAGAAGTAAATAAATGAACCACTAATAGGATTCAAGTGTCCATTTATATACATTTATTCTGAGTCTGGGGTGCAGGGGGAGAAAAAGAGACAAATCTACATAAGAAAAATCATTTAGCAAATAGAACCTGCTAAAAGCCTGAAAGTCTGCAATGGCTTATGAAGTCACTATAGCCTAGGGGAGAGAAGAAAATACTGATAAATCAGTGATTTACATTACCTTTTCTCTATGACCTTATGAATAAATTTTGCTCTGTGCTCTGGTGGGATTAAGAAAAAATGAATGATAAGCAGCTCTAGAGAAACAGATTAATTTCAAAGTGATACCCTTGTGTTTCAGCAATTAGCAAAGCAGTATCAGGGAATTCTTCACTACCACTAACACAATGAATCAATAACATTTACTATGACATTAAAAAAAGGCACCTACCTTCATAGTGGAAAAAAAAAAAGTCCTGATCCCAGTTAATTGTTGTTACTCTCTCTCAAAAATGCCAATGGAACGTCATTGCTACACAGAAAAACTGCTTCAATTAGGGAAGAATTTACCCATTAAGACAGAAAAAGTTGTAACTGCAATTATGTGACAAGATCAGGAATATACTTGCCACATACATAGTTTTAAAGAAACACAGAATATACAATCTACAGACTTAGTAAGAGCAGTAACTCATGTCTAGCCTTGGCAAGCCTGATTATCACCAATTGAAGAATCTATTTTAAGTTTTCATACTGAAAGAATTTACAGCATCTTCCTTAACAGGTTGAACAAATGTTCTAATAAGAAACAAGTTGATTGCAAGATGGAATGTACACAACAAAATAAATTATCGAAAGGGACACACATTCCTTAGACCTCACGGAAACACATTGGGGAGCATGCCAATAGTATGCTCTGTAGTTTTTGGGTCAAAACCATGGAGCCAAATAAAATATAAACTTACTTTTTTTCTGATCCATTTTTTGTGACATAGACGGATGAGTAGGACTTAATATGGGCAGAGTGGTCATCCTCTCTGTGTTGTTAAAAGAAGCATCTGTAGGCCACAATGTCATCTCCTCTGCAGTGGCAAACAGCCGGGTGTTGTCTTCAGAGCCCTCTGCCAAAACAGTTTCAGAGGCAGGCTGATGACTGAGCACTGTGGCTTGAGTTGGGGGACCAAAGGAATTTTCCTGGAAAGACTCTCTAAATATATTTGAGTTCTTGTTCATTCGGTCAATGTGGGATAAAGGTGTGGTGGTCCAAGAAGAGGGCTGTGTGCTGAGATCCACTGTGGAATCAGTCTCAGAACTATTTTCAACCATATTTGGCAAAAGATCAGGAGACATTTCAAGGTCACCATTAACTGTGAGTCTCTCACTTCCATTTGAATAAAAGCATGTTTTTTCTAACACTCCTGCAATAAAGAAAAAAAAAACACCAAAATTACCATCACCTGGAAGAGTGTTACCAATTTGTTCTGGAAAGTTAATACTAAATATAATGGCACAGATTTTAAAAGTATTTTAATATCAAAATTAAAACTGAAGACAAATTTAAGAATTCTATCTGGCAACAAAATAACAGGACACATAAAACATGGCTGCTGTAGGATAAGTAGAGAAACAAATGCTTCCATGAGCTTAAAATATTTTAATCGTATTAATAGTATATCACCAAATACTTACCTGTTTAAAATTACAGAGTGCGATTTCAAGGAGCTTCAACATGCATTCATTCTATCATTATCTTAACAAGATGGACAATACTATTTTTTTATCCTTTTAAATTGCATCATCTCTTGTTTTCATAGTACCACCATCTTCAGAAATCCAATTCTGAAGCTTTAACGGAATCAATAAATTTTTAGCATATTCCATATTCACTAATTTGTAAAATGATGAGAGGTACTGTTTTCTCTATATAAGATTATGTAATTTAACTACCACTGCTAAATATGGACCCCTGAATTATTTGTCATTCTTCTCTGATACTGGATTTTAAATATACAGTTATTGTCTAAAATTTTAGTCACTTGCTGGCTTTATGTTTTGATCATTTATTGTATTATAGACAAAAACAGACTTTTCTTAGTTGTATGTGTTCAATAGTTGCAAGTAATTATAATTCACAAATCAAAACAGTAAGTAGATGTATCCCACAAGCATCGGGAATTTAAACTACATAGTAAGATAACTGATCTTTAACCTAGTAATCCAAATAATAAAGAAGACATCTTAAACATGTGTAGAACATGTAACTTATTTATCTATAATAAAAACAACAAATGTTATCTCAAATTCTTTAACCAAATGTATTAGAGTCATATTTAATGCTAGAAGAGAAGTACCACTCTGTATTACAATATAAGAAATTTTTGGTAAATAGCAAAAGTGATTTTTTCTACTGGGGGATAAAAGAGCTGAACAATCATAATAGACACAGTTCATCTAGACTTGACTACAAAAAAATTAAAAGGAAGATCAAAACATAAAGTCTTCCAAATGTACCAAGTACCTTGGCAACAACTGATAATTTTAGTAACTTTTCTTCTTATTCACTTGACCCTTCATTAGCTGCTTCGTACAGATGAACCCCTAGTGGCAGGGGAGCTGGAATTAGATGATCTTTCTATGGTTCTATCACTCCACAAATAATAAGTCCACAAAACACCCACCACCATCTCTCCCAGACTTAATTTTCATTTTGGTTATTGCGTTTACCAAAATGGCTGGTTGCACCGTCACCTCTCAGTTAGGCCTTGTTCACCCCACACTGCCCCAGGCTCTGTCCCTAGACAAACCCACCCCTCTGCCAGCTCCAGGCACCACAGAGAGCCCAAGAGGCTATCCTGAGCCCACTCCCATTATTGAATTCCTCTCCTCACTTCTCCGTGCATTCTGCTGCTAGAATAAATCAGTTCACTGGTCTGAAATTCAAGAACTGGGCAGGCAAAAATGTTTATTAACCAAGCTACAAGTAACTAAAAATGCCAGAAGAATCCAGGTGAAGTGACTTTGGGTTGGAAAGCTTTATAGTTAAGGTAGAAAAGAGAACTGCAATAGCTGAGAAGGGGCATTGTCAGCATTTTCTTTTTTACTGAGTAACCTTTAACTACAGCAAATGCAAACAGTGAGAAAAACTGGTGAAATTTCTGAAATATAGTGAGTTTCAATTAAACAGTTACCATTTGAGATTTATCATATCATCATTTATCCAGGCTGGATTGTTTTGGCTCCAGTGTCACTAACTGTGAGTAAATCTTTATGTCTGACTTCTACTGGACAGACCCAAGGGAACTTTATACATATATATATATAAATGTTAGGGTTTCTGGTTTTCCACCAGCAGATGTTCATATATCATTGAGGTTTAGAGGAATTTACTGTGTGTATTTTACAGAAGCAACTAAAAATCTCCCACCTGCACATTATTTAAGCAGCATTTGTTTTGTTTGAGTCCTCTGGTCAAACCAAACAATAAGTGCATTTTCACAAACAGGGACTAATATTAATATGATTTGCTAAAGTCTAAGGAAGAGTGAGTGGCTGTGCTCAGAAATTGTGCTCACTAAAATGTGGCTTTATTTGGATGCCAGATATTTGTGTTCAAACAAAGCACTGAATGTCTAGAATTCAGAAGCCTACTTTGTTTCAAGTTTCAAACTTTACTTTTTTTTTTTTTTTTCAGTTTTCAAAAAGCGAAAATAAGCTTTTTGAACTCCTTTGGGAAAGTGCATAGTATTTTTCCATAATTCAAGAATAGCTTAAGGCATTTTTTCACATTGTCTCTCCTCCTCCTTAGACTCATCTCTTCCACCCAGCATAAAAATAGAAAAAGGCTGTAAAACATTGGTCCCAAAGAGCTATTAATACTGATTTTAAATTAAAGTTAAAATTATTAGCTCTTTATATATCACTCAGCAGAATAAGAGGCAATACATTACAAGACAGGTAAACTCTTCAAAAAATGTTTGAAAACCCCCTTTGGTTTAATGCCGTGGTCAATTAAAAACAGTGAAACAAAATATTGAGGCTACCCGCTGGATTCTATCCTCTTCTCACTCAGATTATTTCATTATTTTTCTGGAACAACAAATAATAACTATGTCTATCACTGCCATGAGGTCATTTACTTCTTTCACTGAGATTCCCAAATGCTTGTTTGCTTCTTCAACCCGTCTTCCCAACAACAGCATTTTTTGTTCTATTTTTGCAGTTTCCTAGTGATACCAACTCCTCTTAACAGGGGGACCACACAACGAACCTCTTCAACACAAAAGGACTTCCTAATTGTATCATCTCCACTGACAACGAGCAGCATTAAAATTATTTTTAACATTTTTTCCCTCCAAAATAACATCAGCCTCGCTCAGGTACGTACATACACCCTCGAGGGAGGCACACATAGGCCCCTGGCATTCCCCACTTGCTAGCTCTACATGGCAATTCTGTTTCCACTCAGTTTGTAAGAGTTTTAGGTCACCTTCCTGAATCACCTCTTTCTTCTCCCACATTCTCCTCCTATCCTGTCCTTTTACCAGTGCACCGTAGAGAATTTAGGCACTTTATTCCAGGCTGCAGAAGCCACTCTCTGTGCTGGGCTCCCATTCACTTTATTTTTCATCCTTCCCCCCACCCTTCCCCTAAAACACTACTGTATATCTTAAGTCTTAAATTAAGCTTACTGGATATGTTTTTATAGCATCTATATTTAAATTTCAAGATACCTAAGAAAACAGTGATGCTTTAAAACAATCAGTTCTTTCTTAATCTCTTCAGTGAAGAGAAATTAATTACTCTCTATAAATGTTTGCTAACAGATATACAGCACATAGAGAACATGCATTTTATTCATGTATACAGGCACACTATATCCGACTATTCTTCAGACTTGGGTTCATACAGAGCTGTAGATGGTAAATCATAAGCCAGATAGTTAATTAGCTGAGAAACAGATGTAACCATTTTCAATTTGTGTCTCCAGCTACAGCTGGGCATGTCCAGATGACAGAAACATACAGTATGCTGGCCTTCATTGTGCTTGGTACAAAACAGAGCTACTGGGACCAGACACATTCATTTCAAAGCAACATTTTCCAGCAGTTTTAAAGATCATTTCCAGTTGCTGTTCACTTTGGGGAATTAATGTTTTGCTTAAATATGGACACGTTTTAAAAAACTGACAGTTTACTTAAAAATGGACAGTTAAGAGATTTAAGAAATAGTCACACTGTTCAAGCTAGTAAATTGAGATTCTGGCAGTGTAAACTGTGGAAGATTTCTAGCTCTTCAGAGCAGGAAAGCTCAAAGAGACCAAGTCTGTTTAAAAGCTAATGAAACAGAGCAAAGCAGCCTAACAAAGTATGGGTAAGTGATCAGGCAATTGCAAAGGAAAAAAAAGCACTGGTTCACTAGTACAGCTGGCCAGCACATATAAACTGAGATTTCTCCTGCAGGGTCTGTACCCATGGCTCTGCACTCTGGAGAAATGGGCACACTATTGATCCTATGGAGGTCCCATAGTATACTAAACTATTGCATGTCAGTTAAGCTGCAGTAATTTAATTTAATTTCATTTTTCTTTTCCTTCCTTCCTTCCTTCCTTCCTTCCTTCCTTCCTTCCTTCCTTCCTTCCTTCCAACTCCTCCTCTTCCCCCTCAACACCACCCTCCCTCCCATCAAATAATTTCTATTAGCCACTCAATACTATCAACTTATTTCTTACACAGTAAGATTTCATACCAGTATTAGAATTCAGTTATTATTGACCTGAAATGAACATGAAGTACTATTTTGGATATAGTGTATTGTTAGTTACTATAACAGACTATATTCTCTTACACACACTTTAAATGTCCACAGCACTACTTCATCTAATTCTGGTCATCAAATATATTTGCTTTTAGGCTATCAATGCATAGAATATGAAAGCTGCTGAGAAGAAGAGTAAATTATAAAATGTTAATTCAAAAGCTGCTTCTGAAGAGACCTTTGCCAGTTTCAGACTTGGGTTATAACACCAAGCCTTATTCGTTACTCTGCAGTAATAAGGTTGACTTAAGAGGAGACAGTCACGATGTAAGTAGGATCAGAACAGGCCCCATTTCCCAGAGGATTTCATACATTTTAATCACAGGTCAATACATGCCTGAGGAAGAGATTGAGTAGAACTGATGTAAATACACCTGCCTTTTTATCTGCTTTCTCACCCAAGAATGAAAATCTAGGGCAGAGGATATGAAATATACAAATGGAATGCTAAATATAAGGAAATCAAATTTAACGGCTTCATATTTCATAATTGCAAGACTTACTTGATCTTAATCCATTTCAGATTGTTCTTAGTTCAGAGATACAACCCAAGACTTACCCTGTCAATCATAACATTCACTAGCTTTGGGGGTTTTCTTACTTCCTGAACTTAAACTAAATGAAAAGAACAGGCCTACAATGTCGTGTTCCATATCCTTTACAGACTGAATTGAGAAAACAGATTTAAATTGTCCTGATTTTGACAGTGCTTTTTGAAACATCTTTAGGTTCTTCCTATGCTTGCTGTTTGACTGTTTGATGTGTATTAAAATTGGAGTGTTTAGAATAGGAAAATAGATTTTTATCTGTGTATCTGGATACTGGATACATTACCCCACTTATTTCAGACGTGCTTCTGAAGTACCTAAGGAAGTTCAATTACAAAATATTCTCACTAACAAAAAGAAAAATGAAAAAAACCAGAAACACTCACCACTGAAAGCAAATTTTTAAAACTTTTTTTTTCCTGAAAAAAAATGCTTGAACCTATTTTATATTCTTTTTTTTTCATTTATTGTATTTTTTATTTTGTATTTGAAGCAATTTAATATGTCAGCTTTTCTAGAAGTAACAAAGGGAAGACTTCTTTAAAAACTTATGCTAATAAATTAGCACTTTTTAATTATGAAAAGCATACACACAAAATTACTTAACAGGCTAAGCCATTATGAAATCTATGAATACCTTGAACCAGTTTCCACAAAACATATTTGGGATTCTGCATTGATACATATTTTGTATGTAGAAGAAATTAACAAAATTTTCCTTAGTTAAACTGTAATATTTTGTATGCTGTTCAGAAAAATTTGTGGCTATTTATGAACTAAATTTCACCTCAAAATAAAGATCAAGTTTGTATATGAATGTGTGACATAACTGGATAAATATTCCATTCCAGTGACAGTGATCTAAAATTATAACAAAAGTATCTTTTGTACTTGTAAAATGGCTGCTGAAAACTATCTACATGTTCAAGATAAGGTGTTCTTCAAAACTCTACCTTGAAAAAAACAGAAAAGGTTTCCTCATTGATACTTTAAATCTATTTTAAGAATACAATACAATGTAAATAGCAGATTTATTTCTCTGCAACAGTCACTAGGTAGATTAGGTTTTTGGGTAGGTGTGCTAAGATATATGTCTAATGTCCACAGTTATATTAGCACATAAGAATGCTGTCTTAGTTTTAGTCTCTTTAATTTAAAAAGTGTCTCCCTAATTAAAAAAGCACTCACCTACAAAGGTAAGCAGGATCACCAGCAAAAGGATAAGGGCACAGATGCATGGAATCAGTATTAGGAGCAACAGTCGAAGGAACTTGGCAGAAGCCAGTTTCTGAGAGCAGCCATCCCCCATAGTATCCTCATCTGTTCCTAAGACCTGAAAAACAAAAATGCAGTTTTATCATGCTGGAGACCATCAGTAATTCCTATGTTTTCAATAGCAGTCCTCCCTCCCTATTACACAGCTACATGATTTAAATATACGCTGTATATGGATGGCTACTAGATTCTTAAAGACAAGTTGTATGTAAATTTTCTTTCTGGTGGACTATCTAGAGCAGATAGGCTCTAGATTTAGCAGAAGGCTAAATACAGATTATTTTATAATTTAAAATAATCCATTACTAATTATTCAAGAGCTCCATGTTCTTGTTTCTTTTATTAAAGAATCAATATAATATTATAAACTTTAAGTGACAATAGAAGACTTATTATGCACAGTAATGATGTCTGATTTTTTAAGTACTTTATATAATTATAACTTAACACAGTATTCTCTACAGTTTGCAAATCACACTTTCTTTTCTATGAGAAGAATACAAAAGAACAGAGAAAAACAATTTTATGAATTCAACTGAGCTGCACAAAATAGAAAAATTCAAACCCTTGCAAAAGCCTAAACATGCATTTTATATTTTTTAAACCTAACTCCATTAATATTATGATTACATATACTGGAGAAATGTCATCATTTTTAAACAGAAAGAAAAAAATCCAAATTAATATTTAATAGAAGATGGAAATGGTTATAAAGTCAATGCCCCTTTATTTAAAATAGGCCAATAAATAAAATCTTCCCTGTGATAACGTGAAACTGGATGATAAGTTTATTCATTCCCAACAGTGTCTTCCCAAAGGATGACTAATAGTTTATCCTCTTTGTCAGGAAGATCAATCACATTAAAGTTGGTTGTGTCAGGACACCAGAGTAAAGGCATCCATTACCCTGACAGCCTCTCCCCAAAGAAGCTCAAGAGACTGAAGTCTACAACATAAATTATATTAGTCTTGTAAATGCCAGTCTCTGTGGGTTATCCCTTTGGCTGGCTCTGCTGGACGTGCCTTTCTGTAAAGAGCAGGTCACCAGACAGACTGGCACAAACCAAAGTTGAACTATTTCTTAAGGAATTGCTGCACAGAGACTGGATTTGTACCACCCCACAATCTCAGTCCCATTTACTGCTTTGAATGTAAAGACTGTAGGCACAAGTAGGATTCGCAGAATAATTTTCCATCACATTCTACAACGCCTCTTGTTCCAGCATGGCACAAAGACTATTTGGAAGGAAATTTTCCTTGCTGATAACAGAATTATCAACTGTTCCTGAAGCCCCTGGTTACTAGATAATTATAACTGCAGACCAAGTTGTATGTGTCTTTTCTGACACCTGCTAAGCATCACGTCATCTAACCACTTAGAGACTCATCCAGTGCAGTGTCTGTCCCATTTGACTTCTCTTCCTACTTCCACTGCTCAAACTAAAGACATTAACACTGAAAATGCATATGGGATTGGTATGGTGTGAGCTGCTAGTAGTATCTCACTTGATAGTCTTCCTCCAATTCCACTGATTCAATCTCAACACAATCCTACTACTAGATTTATCTAGCAAGCAAGATAGTAACCTTAAAGATGTTGGATTTATCTGAAAATCTGAAACAGCCAGCTCAGGATGAAAATAAAGAGTGTCTGTTGAAACAGTCTGAGTGAGATGACAAGGTCTGTAATCTGGTCCTCATTTTCCACAACAAAAGAAATATAAATAATATTGCAGAAAGTTAACTGGTTGTCAGAATTGTTTTTTTCTTAATCAGCAGCTTATTCAGAAGTAGTAAATGTTTCAAACCAAGACTTCAGGGTATCTCAGCTTAATTAATGTCCTTGTCCACAACTGACATCTAAAACATTCAGTCACAGATAAAGTTAAGGAATTAGGTGAATATTAGGAACTTCAATCCATGTGACATTCAGACAATACCTGCTTGACTTCCCACAGTCCACACTTGTCTGCCTTGTCATACTGAAGTCTTCAGTGTCTGCCTGACATTTTGCTTCTGGTAATGCTGGAATCCAGCAGCTTCAGCTGCTGTACTCATAGCAGGCTTCCCTGAATTCCACAACCTGGGTTTGCACAGCCTATATTAGGTCCCCTTGTGAGTTCTGAGCACAGGTAACAGAGGAATAACTCAACTCAGCTATGAACACAGATCTCCAAAACACTGCCATAATTATTTCTGAAAGCACAGACAACGATGCAGTAGATGCAGTGCTCCCACAGGAAAGGGGGCAATTGAGTGCAATATCCTATTTTGCCTGAAGCAGTTAAAAAATCAGATCTACAACTGAGCAGACTATCACAACCACATGAACACAGACTCCTCTTGAATCAGAGTACGCCACGCCTTGAAATTATGATGTTCTGTAAAAAAGAACCTGGTTGTTCTGGGCCAGACAACAAGGAGCAGGACCATCACTACACAGCCCAGTGATCAAGGCACTCAGGAGCTGATTCATAGTTTCTTCAAGACAAAACAAATTTTAGATCCAGCTCATTTTTCTAAAGAAATTACTCCTAACCGAGATGCACTTCTTGCAAGTCCCAAGCAGAAATGTCCAACTCTACCCAGTGTAATACAAAGTAAATTCTGACCTGTGACTCCACAAAGAGTTTGTCTTAGGAGTAAAAACTTAGCAAGAAAGAACAAATTTTTTGTTCCCAAATATTTGAAAAAACATTCAGAAACAATATCCATCATCACTTTTTGATTCTTTTTGTGAAGAGGGGATGACATTGATTATTCTGGAGGCCCATGAGATCTTAATAATCTCAAGCACAAGTGTTTAACTGACAGCAGTTACCACCATTGTGGATGACATTGATTATTCTCCAGAATAATCAAGCACACTTGTGCTTGAGATCTTAATAATCTCAAGCACAAGTGTTTAACTGACAGCAGTTACCACCATTGTCATATATAAACCTTAGAGTTAACCTAGCAGAAATATTAAATATATGCTAATTAAAACAATGAGCTTCTGGTGACTCTCTGCTTCTGTGAGAAATGTTTTCCAAAGTCTGCTGTCATTGTAAATACTACTTACTTTGTATAAATGTTCAATACTAAATGAGAACATCGAACATTTTCTTTCTTGTTTACTCCTGAAAGCAATAAATCTCAAACTTTGTATTGACAACTCACTGCCACAGACTTTAAAATGGGCTGTTGTATCCAAATTTGCTCTTAATGATTGCTCAAGAAAAGAATGCTGTATTGTTAGAGAGGCTTCTTTAAGCACCATGAATTGCTTGTTCTGTAGAACAGCAAAGTAAATATTTATAGGCAACTAAACAGTATGTTGTATTTTTCCCTTCTATGGGAAAAGAAAAACAATACACCTGTTTAAATCACCATCAGTGACTATGTAAGCATAAATTAATTTTTCCTGTTTCCCAATATTACCATTTTCCATCACTTGAACATCCACATTAAGTTTTTTCTGTCAATTTCTCTGATGAATATGAACTAAAACTAGAGATGGTGTTGCTGGTTCCTATATCAACAATGAGAATTTAATGAAGTGTCATATAGATAAACATGAATGCATTACACATACTGTTTGTATATTCCCTGACAGTATTTCTTTTCCTCTTGCCATCAAATATTGCAATACACAAAGAATACATGCACCAGCTTGAAGTGCTCTAGTATGACAATGGTATCTGCGTAAACTGCAGATGTGCTTTGTTCTCTCAGTTCTAATGAATAATGCAATAGAGGAACAAATAATAGACTAAAGACATAAATAATGGAATCGTCAGATAAAAATGGGCCTATGGAAGGAAGCAGGGGTGCAAAATGCTTATTCCTTGGCTCACTTCAAGCTTCTAGGTTAGTGGCTGAGAGAAGAAACCAGTCTCCCTCAACTCTCAGTGTAGTTAATAGTTTCTCTGAATCATTTCCTAAGTCTCTAAGACTGAGGTACCTGGTAGATACACATATATCTCCCTTTCCAAGGAAAGGTCAAGAAGACTTAAAAGCAGGATCCTTGAAGGCCCACTGAAAGAAATCAACTCTAAATGCTAAAGATTTCAAAAGAAAATAGATTTAGCCAAAAATCTATAGCACTGGACTAAAACATACTCTCAATACTTGAAGAACTGGTGCAAGTTCTCTTCTAACCAGTGTTATTAGAAAACTCAGTCTAAGAAATATTTTTTAGAATTAAATATCGTGTGCACTACAATTACGAAATATTGGCATTTGTTTTTTAAGGCAACAAGTCATGTGCTTTTAATACAAACAGGTTTTGTATTTAAATATAGTCAAGACAAGAATATAGTCAGAAGAGAGGATGCCTAAAAATATCAGATAATTTCTTCTGACAGCTAAGAAGTTTTGTCCCTAACAAAATTACATTAACTGCTGCATACCTGAGTGGCATTCTTTCAGTAATGACTGCAATAAAGGAAATAGACTAAAAAGAAATTCTGAGCTAATTTCAGTGTGTATTTTTTCAAAAAGTCTAGGTTTATCTAGGACTGCTGGATCAGACTGCTCAGTTTATTTTCTGGAACCACAGAGGGAGGAAAAAAGTAAGATGGAAAAGAGTGTGTAGTCCCATCTGACAGCAAAAAGACTAAGAATTCATTGGACCAAAATTCACAGCTTATTTTCTGCAAGACGTGGAAAGAATCTGATCTCATGGCTGTCATTTCAGTAACATGCCTGTCATATTAAATCAGAGAAATGACAGATTACATTAAGATTTATGGGTGAAAAGACTATGGCAGCATGCAATTTTCCTTTTAGATACTAAAAGTATCTAAGTTACTAGTCTATGAAACAGCCTGAATCATGGTATAAGCACTTGACAAAAATATCTCCTGCTGTTGTCACCACAGAACGAACAGATGCTCTCCCAATAAAGATGTATCATTAGGGCTAATTGCCTACTGTTATTATCTTCTGTGCACGATGGGTCTCTACACAGAAATGTAGAAGACACCTCCTAGATCAGAAGCATTAATGCATCTTGAGCAAGCCATACACCAAAGCATTATTTAGTGTTTGTAATGGAAAGAAACGGAAGGAAGT